TACATGATTCTTTGCTGCTTCTGAGAAACGAATATAGAATAAATTATTTGGGGTTTGATTCTGCATTCTTTCAGATTCCAAAAAGCCAGTTAAACTCAACTAGGATACATTTTTTATTTATCATGTATATTTAGTACTTCAAATAAATTTGATTAATCAGTTTCTGGCTTCAGTGGGTGCCTTAGGTGTCATGGAAATGCAGCATTTACCTTAAGTACTTTAGAATTGGGCCCAATCAAGCAAGTTCCATTGTATAGCTGTTACTTTTAAAAAGCTTTGATAAAGTAAACTTACGTTTAAGTATCTAGTATTTATCACTTAAACAGCTATGTTTGACTTGGTAGTTTTGTCAAATCTCACTTTTAATTATTTTTTCTAAAAGTGAGTTTATAATCCTCATGCTTTCAGAACAAACTTGAACATGTGCATACATGCATTTTGCATGCACCTCAAAGGCTTTTGAGGTGTGTGCAAAACATACCTCATGCATATTTGCAGCATGGAGCCAAATTTAGATGCTGGGAAATCTGGTATAAAAAAAAAAAAGTGCTCTGAAAAAAAGTGGAGTAATGCACATGGCAGCAGTGTGCGCCACCCAGAACTGGAGCCTGACCAGCCAGAGCCACGCTCAGGCTGCCAGCCAGGCTCCATGCGCCTGGATGGCCACTGCTGGAGCCCCGGGAGATCCCCAGGACCCCAGGTAAGGCTGCTGTCCCCAGACTCCAGCACTCTACCTGGAGCATTTTTCTCTGCACTAATCCCATGTGCAGGGGTGTGTGCTGGGGCAAAAAGTAGCAGTATGAATTTGTGTTGCTGCTTTTTTTCCCCCAAAGCAATTGCATGCCCCTGCTCATGGGGACATGACTATGGAGCCTAATGGCACAAAAATCAGAAGGCAAATAAAACAAGCCCAAATTATTGTTCTTCAAATCTCATAATCTTTTGGTCAGCCTCATGATTAGGACAGGACCTGGTTACCTATTTTTGTTCTGGTCAGTAATCTTGCAAATAGATAAAAATCTTTGTTAAATGCTAAACTAAGGCCTTGGGCACATGTATTTATAGCTCTATATATGCCCTTTCAGTGCTACAGACAGCTAGTATTCAAACTTCTCTGTAGGGCTACATTTTGTAACGTGGACAATTATAAGTAGTTGTATGAGCTCTTTGTTATTTGCATAACCAGGGGTGGGGCAGGGGGACACCAGAATAGTGGTGGAACTGCAGCTGTGCTGGGGAGCCAGGTGTACTACCACAGCGGGAGAGACCAGAGCTTCTGCCCCCACGGTGGCAGTAGCAGAGGGCTGCTTCTGTGGCAGGGGCTCAGATATGCTACTCCAGAACAGCAATTGTCAAAGAGCCTCCCTTCTCCCATGCTGGGGAAGGGGGAAATCTTGCCTAGTCCCCATTCCTGGGCAAGAAAGTGGGCAGACTGTCAGTGTTTTTACCCATGGGGTTGGGGGAAGGCAAAGGAGCAGCCTTTATTGCCCCCAGGCTGGAGAGCATAAGTTTGTAGGAGTCTAGCCAGGGGCCTTTAGACATGTGTGTCCCCATAATGCTGGATAGGTATAGCCCAAAGGGCTGAAGCCTATTGAAGTTTTTCCATTTTGAGCAAAATATAATAGATTTAGGTCTCCATGATTTCCCTAGTGTTGAAATAGAAGGTATTTGACTAAAAAAAAAGCTGTGCTAAAAACATGTATTTGCTGCAGAAATGTCTGCATGTGTCATGAGACACCTTGAAGTATTATCTAATACTTATTTAGTTATAATCATGTATCGTAACCATTTTGGGGCACATGCCTCTGAGTGGTCTATCTGAAACCATATATTGGTCCCCCATACAACCTATGGAAGGTTATAGTTTCCTGGGAGTTTTATCTTTACTAGAAAGAAGTATAGCTCCAGTGGGACTAGTCACATGAATACAGCAAACAAGATTTGATCCTTTATTTAGAGTCTCTTTGTAGGACATGGCAGTGTATGTTAGCTATCGATTAGTAACATTTTGTAGTTTAGATTTTCGGCTTAGATTACTGAATAGCTACTGTTATAGCAAACAATATATTTTCAGCCTGTCATTTAGGTAAGACACTTGTCTGATGCTAAAAATAGGTTAGTCAGGTTTGCTGGTAATTTTTATAGCAGAATACCAGACAAGTATGTTAAGTCACACTTTTTAGTACTATGAATACAGGCTTACACCAGAGCGGTGAATCTTCGGCAAATCTGCACATCACTTTTGCCAACAACTCATGCCTGCTTAAAACACATAAGGCATTTTTAAAACCACTTTTAAGTATTCGTGTACCACAGACGTCCCACTCTGAGTCTGCCTGAAAGAGAACTAGCTACAAATACAGTGCTGGGTACTGAAAAAAAGATAATGAGTAGTCTTTGAACCCTTGCACTATTATTCATTAGTTATTTATAAACTGCTGAAGAGACGCACTGCTCAGTGAAGAGAAAAAAAAAAACCCAGTAGACCCTCCAAGCGGTATTTTACTCTTATGTTTCTTTGGAGAAAGTACATTCAAGCATACAGTACAAGACCTAGAAATGCATGCATTCAACTATTTAGAGGTATCTCCTTGCCCTCAGAGGGCTGAATCAATCTGAAAATATTTTTCCGGTTATATTTGACATATTTTTCCCCAGGATATTTAAACTGTTTTCCATGAGCTGTTGATCACTTTAAAATAGGGTCAAGAGAAGAGAAATTGGAGACAGAAATAAAGGATTTTCAAATGTACATTAAGGCACTTGCAATATGAACAATCAAGAGCTATATGAAAGTATGCTCTTCATGACAGAACCTTGAAAAATCAAGTTTTCATAGTATATCCCTTTGCATTGACAATACAACAAATAAAGGATGACATTCTCCTTATAATTAGCAGGTTATGAACTGGTGACATTCTGTTTATTATACAGGCAACTCCCGCATAACGCTGTTTCACATGGTGCTATTTCACTATAACACTCATTTTCAGTTGATACCCGATTTCACTTAGCACTCAGCGAGTCCTGTTATAATGCTCACGGTCACCATCTTGGGTCATTAAAAACAATTGCAGTCGCCATCTTTGGTCATCAAATACTTTTGGTTTCATTTAACACTTGTTTTGCTTAATGCTCAGTTTTTCCAGGAACCAGTTAAGAGTCCTAAGTGGGGGTTGCCTGTAAGATTTTCATCTATTACTGTAGCTCAACCTTGTGTATTTTAGATTGTAAACTCAGTGTTTTTATCCTAACTATAGCAAAGGAACCTTGATTGCGATTATGGCCATACGGCGCTGCCATTGTCAGCATAATTCTAGTACAGAGTCAAATGGTTTCCTTGCATGAAATAACCTAGGTAGGGACCAGGAGCATTTGTTATCCATCAAGAATTTCCTCTGACCGCTTCTAGCCTGCACAAAGCTCTGTGCTTCTGTTTCTAGATAGCTCTACAATTTAAAATTTAAGAGATACCTAAGGTAGTTCTAGACTTTAGTTCATTTAGCTTAGGTATGTCCTCTACCCAGTACCATAATACCTACTCTCTCTGTGCTTTTATCTGGCCTCTTGCAGCTCTCTCCTCACTTATTGCCAGTGTGTCAGCCTGATCACAGCACACTGAAGTGTAATTCCAGTGCATCCTATTTACAATATTGACATTGCATGCTGTACTGCCACAGCAGTCTGTAAGAAAGTTGGCACTGCGTACAGGAGCATCTTTCATGGATAGTGGAGTCCCAGGGCTCTCTGCAGGTCAGGGTACACAGTGGCTTTGGAAGGAGAATAGATGTTGCTCATAATTAGCAGTTCACCCTGTTATTTAGTGTTCCACTAATACAGCTATATGAAGTGCCCTCCAGCGTCTGGCAGAAGTGGCTGAGGTGGACCTTTGATAGGTTTTCTTTTCAAATCCTGTTAGCTCTGTTGCTAGACATGTATAAGCTTGATGAGGTTAAAACCTCAGTTTGTTGTACCACATTTTATCATGCATATTCAGGCCTTGTTACATATTCATTTTGGGTGGCTCCTGAAGCTCTTAACCCTTGGATTGTCCACACATTAAACACATAGTTTTTAAGCACTCTTGAGTCTTAGAAGTTACGCCCCTCCAGCCTACATGTCTCTGAACTGTGCTACCCAGTTCATGTTACACTAATGTGTAACCACTAGGCTACACGTTTAATATGACCACCTTACTTGCCCTTTCCCCTGCTG